TGGCCACGACAAGGACCGATGCTTATACACAGAATTAAAACAATAATATAGCCTCAACAAGGGCTTGCAAATAAATTAACTACTTCTAAGCTTAACACATGCACGATATCTTACAATGTGAAACTAAAAGGTCAAGAAAGTTACCTGGGGTCCTCTAGACTTACGCTTCGCTAGCGTTCCCATGGCGAGATTCGAGTCCCTAGAATCTTACAACACGAAAATGGTTAAACCACACGAAAAAAAAATGCACAAAACACAATATGCACAATCAAACTAAATTTAACCCTAAACTTTGGTTGCTAAACCGTTTGCAAGTCCCCGGTAACGGCGCCAAAAATTGATCGACGGTCGAAATCAATTATAAATCAACCCTCTTCGCAATAGCACGAATCATTGTAAAATAGGGCTATTAGTCGGGTAAGTCGAACCACTGGGACTGTGCTAGTCTATGGCAACCCAAGTGTCTAGAATTGTTCTTAGAATGATAAGGGGTAATAAGGGTTTGTTTAATGGTCACTAAACTAGGAATTCAAAGATGCATAAACTAGTAGGTTGCAAGAATTAAAAAAAGATGAAATACAAGTAGAGAAAAACTAGGGAAATGAATCCGCTCCAACCCTATACACATTCTAGATTGAGATTAAATTGGGAAAATCAACATAAATGATGGTCATGACACTTAACAACCCTTGGTTGCTATACTATCCTCAAGAGGTTCATTAAATAAAAAACAAGAATAATCCATCAAAGATTCACATGCTTGAACTACCTAAACTAGGGTGTAGTCTTCAACATGCTCCCTAAGCCAAAGATTATCAAGCCCCTAATTAAATGATGAGAGCACACAAAGTTAATAGTCAAGTATAAACCATCAAAAGGCATCCTAAGCAATGATTTATCAAAGTTCTCAAACTCCATGCCATTAAAATCATTCCATGATCTAACTTCCATTGTCACTATGGAAATGCAAGCAATATGATTAGGAAGAGAAACCATCTAAGATAAGATGAATAGCTCAAAATAATTATGTATAGACATTAGAATTCATTACAACACATATGATGCTCTAGATCATAAAATCACCAACAATAATACATTGAAATCCCAAAAGTAAAATCTACACTAGAACATGCTTACAAGGGAGGGGCTTCATCACCTCCCTAGAGAAGATTTAGTTACCCATAGGAGCAATGGAAGAAGGAAGAAGCTTGAAGACCTCCTCCATTTTCGTGCTTCCTTCTTCAAGCTTGAAGAAGGAAATCTCCTTGCTCTCTTCTCTCCCCAAAATCTGATCCAAACTTACTTAGGAGATGTGTGGCTCTTATCCCTCTTATCTACCACCAAACTAGGCTCTCTCTCCTCCAAGGAACACCTCCAACCACTTCATAAAGAAGGAAGATGGCATTGAGGAAACCAATGTGCAAGTGGCTGAAATTGAGCCATTTCCGAGTGCAATCTGCCAGAATTTCGAGCACTCGAAGGGTGGTCTCTAGCACTCCAAATTAGTGTAATGAGCAACATGCAATTCTTGCCCATCTCTAACCCACTGTGGAAGAATGACCATAACTTTGTGCTCCGAACTCTGAATGATGATCTGTTTGAAGATTTGGAGAGCTGATTCAGAGTTTTAAAAACTTCATGTTTTGATGAAGACCCAATTCTCAAGTCTGGTTAGTCGAAAATGGGGAGAAAGGCAGCACTTCAGTGCTGCCAGGCAGTTCTGCGCACCTCTGGTAAGAAGATCATAACTCTCTGCTCCGAACTCCGAATGACGAACCGCTTGAAGATTTGGAAAGCTGATTCAGAGCTCTAAATCTTTCATGTTATGATGGAAGTCCAGTTCTTGAGTTTGCTAGGTCGAAAATGGCGACAAAAGTCAGGTTCTACTGCTGCCAGAATTTCAGAATTGGCACCCTTTTTGTTCAAAATTCCACAAGGCATCATTTTTGCTTCCTTTTTGCAATTTAACCTGAAAATGTACAAAAACATGCAAATGGAGATAATCTACATAAAATAATCAATTAATGGACTTTGTTAATGTAATTTAGGGCGCTTGAATATACAGTATTCGGCGCTTATCACTTCTGTTATTCATATTTTCTCATTTTGAACCTTTTTTGTTAACGAAATTTTGCCGTTTGAGCGTGTTTGCTCAAAATCCACTTTTTCGGACCCGGCGGGGTCCGTTCGGGGCACTTTTTGAGATTTCTATAAAAGGGGGATGAGATATTTCATTCTTCATCTTCCCCACTCCCTTTGCACGACCTGAAGCAGCCATGGATGCCCATGGATTTGCCACATTCTCTCTCCTCATTTGATTTACTTTTCCTAAGTGAAAAGTCTTCGACTTTCACGTTTTTTGTTTCCCTCGACGTGTTCTACCATTCCCCCTTATTAGAATTCATTTCCGACTATTTCTTGAGTTTGGGTTTGAGGTCAAGTTGTGATTTTCATGGGGCTTCCTTCGGATTCATGTAGATCTTGTTGTCTTCGTCAAAACCCTTCGGTTTCGGCGGATTCAGAACACTTTTTTTTCGGTGGGCCTTTGAGGTTTTCATCTCAAATTGAGGTAGGGGGTGTTATATAATTTAATTTTTTGCTCTATTACATGTTTGTGATGCTTATTCAACTCAATTGCATGCTTGGATATTAAATCAAGAATTTTTTATTATTTATTTTCTAGTATGAAATTTAATTTTCCCGGTGAGTTATAGCATGTTTTAAACTTGTGGCTTGACATTATATTACACCTTGATATCTTGATTAACATATATTAAAATTGAAGCATTTGGATAAGAAATGAAGATTTTATTTAATATCTTGAATAAAATATTAATTCATGTGGCCTTAACTAGCTTGAAATTAATGTGTGATAGCATATTATATTTGGTCTTAGTATGCTCTTCAACATAGTTGAATTTGAAAGTAATTGGAGGTGTTTTGAAAATTAGTAATTTTTAGTTAATTTGATTAATTAATTTACCCCGAGTGCACTATTCACTCCATTTGAATTCCGACTTGATATTCTTAATCTACATGTCATATAGCTTCACATATATTTGATTTAGAATATTCGGTGAGGTTCTGAAACCTTTAATTTAATTAATTTCCTTGTTTAAGATTTAATCCTCTTGGTGATATACAACTTGGAATTGAATTGTGGCATGCTAGAAAATTAAGCTTTGGTATAGTTGTTCACATATATTAAATTGGGATTAATTACATGAGAATTGCAACCTTTATTTTATATTTAACTTTAGTGAAAGTTTAATTTACATAAGTGTAACTTGCATGAAATAAGCTTGTAATGTGATATTATATTAGTCCTTGGCATGTTCTCTAAGATATGTTAAATTGAGAGCATTTGGTTAAGTTTGAAAATCTAGAGATTTTAATTAAAAGAATTAATTAAAATCTATTTTGTGGTCTCATTAGCTTAATTAAGATTTTAACTTGATATTTGTATTGGCTATGACTTGTTTACTAGTATGTATTAATTGTGGACCATTTGAAGTTGCTTTAGAACCTTGGTAATTAAATTAACATGATTTAATTAGAGTTCTACTTTGTTGTTCTAATAACCTAATTGAGTTTTAGAATGGATATAGGTGATGACCATGCCATGTTCTTTAATATGTATTAATTTGAGATTATTTGGAATTGAATTAGAATTTATGGAATATAATTATTTTTATTTAATTAAATTCTATCTAATTGAGTCATGGATTTAATTGTGTTTGAAAGTCGTTTCTATATCAAAATCCTGGATATGGACTTATTGTATATTCATTTGGTTATGTTTTGAGCATTGGATAACATAGTTGCGATGTTTATACTCATGAGAATATGTTTTCCTTATTGAATATATTGTTGCTTTGTGTAATGATTTGCACATTTCGTATTTAACATCTTTCATGTATAGCGTGTAACGAATCGCACACTAAAGATTCGACATTCATCATATCATATTAGTTGTGGACTTAGAGCATGTATTGTATAGGTTTTCAAATTTGGTTGTGCATGGTAGATAGTTGATTATCTTGTATATACATGCTGATATATACGTTATTGCACAACTTGTTGATTTTAGAAACTTGGGGATGTCGTTGTTTGGCTACGGCTAGGACGTGATTCTAGTACGGGGGATAGTCCCTCTATATAGTCTAATGCGCATATAGGGAGGTTACCCATGGGCTAGTAACCCTAAAGTGACCACATTGTCAGTTTGATCTGGCGTGACGTCCAAGTATTCACTTTATTTGATTTCGCATTTCATTTCAAGTTGATAACTAGATGATGTTATAACTTGTTGTTTCTTACTTGTTTTCTCGTTTTAAGTTTCAGGATGTTTACTTTGAGAAACCATGCTTTACGTGTTGTATTAAAAGTTCTAATGTTGGTTAGATGGCATCGATATTGTGATTTGTGTTTTGATGTTCTAATGTAGTTTAGGAATGATCCTATAGATTCAATTGGAACATAGACGTTAGGTGGCATGACCCACTTCTGTTGTTTTCGTGCTTTGGATTTCAAACTGATAGCTTTATGAATTTGTATTTTGTTGCCTTGTATAACATGCTTTTATGTGGCTAGATTGCATTGAAATTGTAATTTGTGTTTTGATTGTTCAACATGGTATAGGATGATTCTTTAGACTTATTTAGAACATAGACGTTAGGTGGCATGATCACTTTAGTTGTTTCTGTATTCTAGATTGCAAGTTGATACCTTTAAGAACCTTTATCTTGTTGCTTTGTATAACGTGCTTCCATATTGTTTGAATTGCATAGATGTTGTGATTTATGCTGAAAATGATCTAAGATAGCTTAGGATGATCCCTGAGTCTAATCTTTGACATAGATGTTAGGTGACATGATCCCTTTTTGAAATGATTCATGTTGTCTAAAAATCTTAAAGAAATCGAGTCATGCATGCTCGTCCCTTACGAATAAACTTGTTAGACTTGTTTATTCACCCCGAAGTTACTGGGTATTTTGCAGGTAAAGAAGCTTTGTTGTGAGATATACAACACTCTTAGACATGCTAGAAGTCTTGAAATATTTTTGATAACATTGAATAAGCATATGGTAGCATATCATGTTTACTTTTGTTTATTTTGACAAAACTTGTTCTTATTGTTTAAGCCATGTAATGTGCACTTAAGTGCACCTTTTGACACTTTTTTGATGTGTATGTAATGAGGTCGGAGGCCAATATCATATATCATGTATGTTATGCACTTTTACTTACAAACTTCATTATGGAAATATTAAAAATTCATGAGATATTATGTCATAACTTTTGTATCGGGTGTGAGAATTCCATTTTCATTCTTTCATAGGGTCTCATAAATCATGTTTGAAGTCTGGCCAAGGGCCAAATGGTAATTTGAAATCATTTGTCAATTTTGGTTTTCATGTTTTCCATTTCAAGTCCATTTTTGCCTTTTCGGCCGTTAGGGGGTCGGATTTTGCATCGGTGGTATTTTTAAGCCATGGACCATTGTAGCGCATCCAAATAGGTAAGTTACATTTGTGTACATGATCGTTTTGAAGAAAAACCATTTCCTTTGTGATTTGAGTCTCCTACGGAATCATTTTTCAATTTTGTTGCATAATCTGTTTTAGGGGCATTATAGACTTTTTACATCAGTTTTATTTTCTTCTTTCTACATGGTCGCTTAGAAAACGTGATTTTAGGGGGGGTTTTTTCTTTGGGTTTTTCCAGAAAACATCATCTTGGTATCTGAAATCCATCGCAAAGTTCAGCTTTCTGTTTTTTCTATTTAGCAGCTTTTTGGACCTCCATGACCAGATTTCATGGAGGGGCATTTCGGGAATTCTACATTGCGTTTTTTTTTTAATTCTTTCATGAGTCACGTAGAAAACTCAATTTTGAGGGGGGTTTTTTCTTTGTGTTTTTCCATAAAAATTAATTTTTGCCCGTTTTGATCTTAGATGTATACAGATCCTGTAGCAGCTTTTTGCCCTCCTGTCCAGTTCTGATCTAGGGGCATTTTGGGGATTTCACAGTGAGTTTTTTTCGATTCCGTCTACATTGTAAGGTAGAAACTCAATTTTAGGGGGGGTTTCTTTTTCGTGTTTTTCCAGAAAAACTTTTTTTGACCTCCGTTTCAAGCCTCAGTTCTGGAATCTCACTTTTTTTTTTTTTTTTTTTTTTTTTTTTTTTTTTTTTTTGCTGTCAGCTTGTGCATGCCATTGGGCGCGGGCATGGGTGCCGGTGGGCTCGTGCATGGGCGCCATCTGCGCCATGGCCTTCGTTGGGCTACCGCGACGTCTCAACTTCAAATCCTCGTTTCTCTCTCATCCGGACTCCAAATCGAGGGAACTTTTTTTTGAACTTGACTAATTTTTTGCTATCTTTCCAACGGTGTGCTCGGTTGCACCCGGATCATCCTGGATAATTACCAGTTTACCCTTTTAGCCTTAAGTGCTCGTTTTTCTTCGTCAGGCCGTTTCTCCTTTGTCCGGACTTCGAATCATGCGATTCTTGAGTCCATCGTGATTATTTTTTTGTTATCTTTCCAGCGGTGTGCTCGATGGCACCGGAATCCATACTTTACAAAATGACTATTTTGTCCCTGGGGGCTTATTTGTCATATTTTTGATCTTTTGCTTCTTCATCAATTCTCATTGAGTTCCACGACCTCATGGAAGGTCACTTTGACTTCTTAGAGTCTTGTTTTTTGTTTTCGCTTCCGCATATCGGATCTGTTATCAGGTTAATCTTCGGTTCATCATAGGACACACTGGCCTAAAAATCAAGGTCGTCACAGTTATCAACTTGAAATGAAATGCGAAATCAAATGAGGTGGATACTTGGACGTGACGCCGGATCAGGCCGACACCATGGTTACTAGCCCATGGGTAACCTCCCTATGTGCGCACTAGATTGTAGGGGGACAATACCCCGTACTAGAACCAAGTCCTAGCCGTAGCCAAACAACGATATCCCCAAGTTTCAAAAATTAACAAGTTATTCAACAACGTATATATCGACATGTATATACAAGATATCAACTATCTAGCACGCACAACCAAATTTGGAAACACATACAGTACATGCTCTAAGTCCACAACTACTATGGCATGAAAAATGTCAAATGCAAGGTATGCAACTCATTACATAAGGTAACAATATATCCCATAAAGAAAACATGCTCTCATGAATATAATTATAACAACAATGTTATCCTATGCTCAAAACATAACCAAGTGAATCCACAACAAGTCCAAGTCCATGATTTTAATATAGAAACGACTTCTAAAACACAACTAGATCCATGGAGCCATTAGATAGAACTTAATTAAACAAGAATAATTAAATTCTTAATGTTTTCATTTCATGGATTCATAAATTGCGAGGACAGAATTCCTTTCGTTAGGGGGGAAGAATGTAATACCCCGATATTTTAAAGGATTTATTAATTGGAATTAATTACTTTTATTTTATTTTTAAATGATTTATTTGATTTAATTTTAAATTAATTGCATTTATTTTAATTTTTAATTAATTGAGTGCTTAGATGAATTGTTTTATTTTATTTATATTTCGTGAATTATTGATATGATAATTGCTGTGTGTATGCTTAATTGTTGATTGAATTGTTGGCGTGTTGATTTTATTAGAATGGTGTGACTTGGTTGTAATTTATTATTTTGTTTATGTGCTTAGTGCAATTAGTTTTTAGTTTTTATTTTTATTTATTTATGTGTTTATTTAATTATTTGGATTATTTAAATTAATTGGATTTGAGCTTAAGGGAAGTTGGACCAAAAGATGTGGTCTTGGGCTTGTATGAAGCCTTATTGGGTTAATTAATAAAGGAGCATGGTTATTTAATTATTTAAATGATCATTTTTGTTTTAATTATAAATATATATATAATTATATATAAATATAATTAATTAATAATTGTTATTGAAATATATATATATATATATATATATATATATATATATATATATATATATATATTTATATTTATTGATATATATAGGTATATATAATTTAATTAACCAATGGGTTAATTATGGAAGATATATATATATACATGTAATATAATATATGTTTATAGATATATATTATTTAAAGATTATTATTTTATTTGAGAGTCCTAGTTGGAATATGATTTGGATTTTTATGTGTATAAATATACACATAAGGCTTTAGGGTTAAGGGTTGACAAGTTAGAAAAATAAGAGAAGTAGAGAGAGAAGAGGAGGAGGCTGACAAAGAGGAAGCCGGATTAAAGAAAGAAGACGCTGGAATTGGAAGAGACAATTAAAACTTGAAGCGTCGGTTTCGTTTCAAAACCTTCAGGCAAGTTCTTTTTTAACTCTCCTCTTAGGACCTATAAATTTATCACCTTGAGTATCAATGTTAAGATTTAAATTTATTGGTTTAAAAATCATTGTTAGATCGGATTAATTAATAGCATAAATTATTATAATTAATCTTTTGGAATTTTGGGTTTTAAATTGTTATATATTAGGTGTTGTATATATATATTTTAAAATCAATGTATAGGTGAGTTTGTGACCCAAGATGATTAATTAGGGTTTCTTTATTTTCTAGTATTTTCCTTGAATTTTCTGAAATTATTTGGTATTTTTGAGAATTTATTATAATTTATTCTTTTGTATTTATTGAAAATTTATATATAAATAGATACTGTTTATATATATATCTGGGTCTGTGAATCGGCGCATCAACAGACGAGTAATCCGGTGCGGTGTGGATCAAACTATAATGGTGTGCACCTGTTATGGGCCATTAAATGTAGGGCTGCAAATGAGCCGAGCCGAGCCGAGCTTTAGGCTGTTCGGGCTCGGCTCGTTTGTCTGGTCAAAGGTTGTCTAATCTAGTGCAGTGCACCTAGAGGGATACGGTGCAACCGCCGAATGGGGATGCGCCGCGTCACCAAAGAGAACAGCCAAGCGCGTGTGCATGCGCATCTCAGCGAGTGCCAGAGTGTGTGCGCGTGTGTCAACTCATAGGGGCGCGTGGGAGCGCGTGCGCGCGTGGAAAAGGTTGTAGAAGCGGGTAAGGATTGTTTGGGTTCGTGTGGGGGTGCGTGGGGAGGTGTTTGGAGTCCTAGAAAAGCCCTGTTAAGTCCAGAGATGTTCCATAATTGTTTTCAAGCTTATTACTACTAGAATCAACCATTAAATGATGTATTTTTAGGTATTTGAGGGCTGTATGATGCTACTACGATATTTAGTTGCGTTTAATTGACGTAGTTATAATTAGTTAATAAACTGGGTATGGAAGGAAGTGTGTATATATATATATATATATATATGTATATATTTTATATATGAATTAAATAATATGATTAGTATAGTATAGAATGAGGTATATATATATATATAAAATAATATACGTGTATATGTATATATCATTTAAGATGGTTAAATTATTATTCTTACTCTATATATATGGATAGACTGGTTATTAAATTAAGTATATGCACAAGATATGTATGGAATGCCTAGGCATGAGTTGTTTTGTTTGTAAGTTAATTTTCTATGTAAGAGTTGTTCGGTTGATAAATTAACTTTTAAGGTTTGGTACATGGTTGAATTAGAGGCATGGATGAGTTGTCGAGGACTTAAATATATTACCTTACTTGTATGAATAAAATACATACGTGGGAAGTATGGATGAATTGTTAACTAAAAGTATAAATAAATATATACTTAAGGGGGCGTGGTTGATTTGCCAAGGTATAAATAAATATATTCAAGGAGGCATGGTTGAGTTGTCAATTTATAAATGAAAATATTTACAATGGCATGGCTGATTTGCCAAAGCGTAATTAAATTATTACAAGTTAAATGATTAAAATATCATCAATGGCTATTGTATGTATAGATTGGTTTAGGACTAGATATTCTTAAATTAGAATAAACTAGTACTTAAAGGTTAGTATATTATTTTATATTAATAAAACAATTTTGGTGGAGCCATGGATGATTTATCAAACCTTAGATTTTGGGATATGTGATTTAAATAATTAAAATCATTATGGGGCTTTGGGATTAAATATAATATTCCTTTTATTATAATTTATTTGTTTAAATGATTAACAACTCACTAGGATGGGATTAAGGTTAAAGGAATTTCTTTTTAAAAGAAATGGTGAATTTGTATAGGTGTGATTATTATTTTAATCATTGTTTAATAGTTTTGAAAATTTAATAAATCTATTAATGGATGTGATTAGTGTAGCATATATAGATGTTTATATATATG